AAGACACGCACTCGGCGGGTCTGAGCGCGCCTGTCGGTTTAGAGAGGGAAACTGGCGGTGGCTGGAGATGCCGCACCTCCCACGCTATGGTGTCCTCGGGCTTCAGCTCCAGCTAACGCAGGATGCTGTCCACCTGCCAAGAAGCCTTCCATTTTCCTGAAGTCGCAGTAGCCGGTGTTACTGAACACAAAAGGAGCCACAGCCAGGACGGGGCTTCACTGGACTTCCAAAGACATGTGTGACCCACTCGAGGGAGGTCAGACCGAAGAGTAATATGAGCGTGGGAAAGAAAAAACACACACCCCACACGCACAACTGGGTTCAGGTCCAGAGGACTGTAAATGCAGTTCAGACACCAAAATCAACCGGAATGGGAGCCTGAGCATCTCCAAGGGCTGTCAGTCTGGCCGGGCAGCACTCGAGAGGACCTGGGAGCAGAGACAGGCATGATCACACGGCTGGCTCTCTCGGGACCACCCAGTTTCTCCTTTGCTCACTCCCACCACAGGTGCCTGCCCCCCTCCTGGGGCTCTGGAGGGACAGAGCCGCCCTCTGGGGGCAGGCTGATGTGAGCCAGCTACCTCCCGCTGCACCCCCGCCCGGGCAGCTTCAAGCATCCTCAGTAATGGCCCAGGGCGCTACCTCTAAACCACGGGGTATTTTCTTTATCTCAGTTGTTGGTGCTTTTTTTTCTTTCTTTTGTTTCTGAAGAAAGATTTGGAGGTGAGGAGAAAAATATACCACTAGTTGTACTTTCAGCATTATATACTTGCTTGATTTCCCAAGATTTGTTTTGTAATGTTTTTCCAGCATGCAGCACATCTCTGTTAAGTTTCTAACTCACCACAGGTAGGTAGAGATGACACCCTGGGCTCGCCTCCTGGTGCTAACAGGATCCTGGGTGCAAAGCCACTCAGATCTGGGAGCCGGGAGTTGACTAATTAATCAAACAACATCTCATGTACAATATTTTAAGAACTCTCTCGGCTAATGATTTTCATGAAATATGTCCAGGAACTCTACTTCTCTGTGCCCCCAGCTCTCCAGTATTTCTAGTAGTGTGCGAAGTACACACGAGCTGTCTTATCTCGAAGCTGTGTTCTGAGGGTTGGCAGGTCACACAACAGCGTGTGCAGCATTCAGAACACAGGTTGCATGTTGACACTGGGTACCACCACCAGCCAAGCACCACTACAAAACTCATCTGCTGTATCCACACATAAGATGTGACAGTGTGTAACAGTGTGTGGATTAGACCCCACCATTCCTCTCCTCTAGTCACAATTCTCCATTTGTTTACTTGATGTCGGCACGAAAACCATCACCTTCTGCATTTCCAGGCACCGGCTTCCAAGGGCTGTGTGGGGCCATTTGTTCCCTGTGGGTTAGCAGTCGGCACAGGCTCCTTGTCCACCTGGGCGGTGGATGGCCACGCACCACCAGCATTCCAGACCATGGACGAGGAGGGCTGTCACCCAGGTTCTGGGGTGGCCAGCATTTCCTCTTTTTCCAGGGGGTCAGAGGGCAATATGCTGCCCAGTGTCCTCTGTGGAACCCTCTCTCCTTGGTCCTGCAAGCCCACGCTACCTGCAGGACTGCCGGAGGGCGGATGTCCTTGCTGTCTGCAGCCTGCTTCTCTGAGCACCAGCCAGCAGCATTGCTGCCCCGGCAGGGACCGTCACAGCTCTCAGTGTCCCTTGTCCCCTCCTTCCTTACTCACCGAGCCCCTGTCTTGTAGGGGTTGGCTCTGTGCTGATGCTATGCAGAGGGCATTGAACAACTTCAATGACCTCTACATAACCCTTTCCCTTACCTAACTACTTGACCCTCTGAGTTGTTGAATGGTGGATTTTCTGCAAGACAAAGGACCCAAGATTCTGAAGACCCTGGGCAGACCTCCCGAAGCCTCATCGTCCCCCACAGCTGCCCAAACACACATGGCCTTTCCCTTAAAAGCCCCTGATGTCCCTTAATAGGAGTGACAGATTTGAGGCAGCTTCTCCCATTCTCCTGACAAAATGTCTGTCATATTAAAAATTCCCTCCTTCCTTGGCAATCCTTGTTGTCTCAGTAATCAGATCTTTGTGTGACAAGCAACTAGACCTAGACCAAAACTCCTGTGTGGTTTCTACAGCACTAAATTAGTATCTTCCACCTTCTTTGCAGATGACTGGCCGTGTGACTGAGTGTGGTCAACGAGATGGACATGAACGTTTCCAGAGCTGTCTGCTGGCACATAACCTTTGTCCTGTGCCCTGTCCTCCTCCTTGAGGGAACGCAAGCTGTGGAGGGGGCTCTGCCACCTCGCAGCTCTCTGCCGACATTCTGGAGCCACACTGTTACCCTAGATGACCTACTGCTGGACTTCGTGCTGTGCGAGAGAAAACCAAACCTGCAATTTAAGCTACTGCATTTGGGCCTCTGCTACTGGAATCTGCATGGAGCCCTTGCAGGCTACACACTGTGGTCCGCACTGCCCTGCCCCTCAGTGCTGAGGACCAGACCCCTTGGGGACGCGCATGCATGTCTCCTTCAGTCCTATTCTGGGGTGCTCAGGCTGTTGCCTGCTTCGGCCCACGATACTCTGCTGACCTCTGTGTCCCTTCGGTGAAGTTGCAGGAACCACTGGGGCCTCTTCCGCGGCTTCTGAGAGAGGTGCGGAGCTGCTCCCTCGCGGGGTCTGCACGCTCCTGTGCTGGCAGCTCCGGCAGGGCCTGCGCACCCACCGCCGCCAGCCAGCTGTCCAGCCAGCTGTCAGCTTCCCTCCTGGCAGGCACCTCCGTTGCTAGCAGTGACTTCTTGGAGCACCCCTTTCCAGGTGCATTTGTGATGTAAAGCTTAAAATTGAGGTTCAGTACCCTGTGCTGCCCTGAACGGCCCCGAACGGCCTCGAAGGGCCTCGCCGCAAGCGCTCCCGGCCTCTCTGCTCGCGCAGACACGGGCGCCAGGCAAGCAGCCCTCTCGTCGCTGGGCCAGCTGCAGCTCCTGCCTGTCCCCGGGCAGTGGGTTCCGGTTCTCTGCCGGCCTGCAGAGCCATCACACACAGCAGGCAGTGCCTTTCGCTGGAGCAGGGCTCACTGCTCCCTCCCCACGCTGCAAAGCTGCCCCAGCCAATCTCACTCGTCCGTCCCGGTGCAACCGCTGGCGGCCCTGCCCTCTTCCCCTGGGCTAGGACTGGGCTAGGACAGGTGACTGGTGACCTCCTCTCCATCTTATCTGCCCAGCGCTGGGAGTCCTGTGTTCGTTTGCTCGCCCTGGGCCCCTGTGGCGGGAATCCCTCCTCCCCTGTGATTGAAGGGGGGATTAAAACAGACCCCCCGCATTGCCCTGTAGAAGAAAAAGGCATGACAGCCCATCCCCACTGTGTCCACAAGCCAGTGGCCCCCCACGCTGCCTCTTTTGCCTAGGGAGGGGTCGGGTCGGCAGCTATGGGGTGGCCCTGCCTCACTGGGGGCCACAGGGAGTCTGGGGCCACGGCAGCTCATGCCGAACGTCGCCAACGTGGGAACTTCCGCTCTGAGTTGCAGCAGGAAAAGCCCCTTAGAGCAATGAGAGACAACCTCTTGCAGAAGTGAGAAAAAGAGCTTAAACGGGAGGAATAGGACAAAGGGTCAGGAGACGTGAAATGAGAGTGGCCACTTTTGAACTAGCCCTCCTCCCCCACTACTCCTTCTGTAAAAATGTCAAGCACACACATCTCCTATTTAGGAGAGAAAAATAAAAGACTGGGGGAAGGAAAGGGGAAAATAGAACGTGAAGGTCGCCTGCCGTCTCCTGTTCTTTAGCCACTGACCAGACAATTGACAAAACGATTCTTTCCAAACTTCCTAGTCATCTTTCTGTTATTAAAAGGCTGGTCACACACCTGGTTTGGAATTTTCACCATTTGAGCCATTATCTGTTGTGTCAGTAAAGCAGTCAGTTGTGTTTACATTCACCAGTTTGTTCTCCGAGTCTCATTTGGAAGACATAAAAGCACCAAAGTGCCAGGAGTCCCTAATTAGGCCCCTGTGCAGGCATCCCCCTGAGCAGCAGCCTTTCGGTGGAAACCAAAGTCGTCTTCACAGAAGCGTCATTGTTCACTGTCCGTGGCCGTTAGGGCTCTTCACTTGTCCATTTGTGACCACACAGCTAGCCTCTTCCTGCCCCCAGGCCCACTGTGAATCCGGATGCGGCCTGGGTCTTGTCCTCTGAATGAGGAGTGACCCAACTACCCTAACAAGTGACAGGCGCCTCGCTGGGCGCTTTGTTGGGAGGCAGAAAAGACGGTGCGTCTTGCAGACCACACAGCAGAAGGAACCCGAACACCACAGCCAGGGGTTCGGGTCTCCTCCCCGCTCTTCCCAGTACTGCCCCCAGCCCCCTCCTCCCACACCCGCATGTCTGTAAAATCCCCCTGCTGTCCTCAGCGTCTAGCCCCGGTCTGAGCGGCCTTACTCTGTACTCCCACTGTGTACAGGGTCACCTATAAACCTCTAGGTATTGGTTATCAACAGCTGCTAATACTATCTCCAAGAAGGAGAAAACCAGGCATTATGTGGACTCAAGCCCCTAGCATATATTCTTGACAAAAAATGGAACCTCAAGGAGATCAAGCCTCTAGATCTCACCAGATCTATCTAACTGGCTCTGACTACCAACTCACGGGAAGACATGGGACAGAGGGACATAGCGATGACAAGCCCTGGCTGCAAAATGGGAGAGAAAGCAGAATTTGAGCTGAGAGCAGCTCTAGAGGATAAATGAACTGTTGATCCCACGAGAAATATGCAGAGAAAGGGGAGAGAGCAATGTAAGAGCCTTATCTGGAGTTTGATTCGACAAGCAAACTGTACCGTGCCATTTCTGAGCCAGTCAGAGAAAGCCGGACACTGACTGGATATCGACAGTATTGAGGACTACTGTTACGTGTTTCAAGTGCAATAATGGCGCTCTGGTTATGTTTTGTAAAAACCATTTTACCTTTTAGAGACACACACTACAGTGTTTCCAGACAGAAGGCTAGGAGGTCTGAGATTGGCTCTAAGGTAAGCCGGGACTGGGGAAGGAGTTGGAGGAGGGGACAGAACACCTGAGAGCAGAAACCTGTTACAGCTGGTGAGGGGAAAAACAGGACGGCCAGGGAAACAGGGACGTCCGGGTAGGAGTATGTCCCAGGCAATATAATACTGGTACTAAAAAGTCAGCTGTTGTTTATCTGAAATTCAAATGTAGCCGGCTGTCTTGCTTATTTCTTTGCTGAGTCTGGCAGCTCTAGGAGCGGAGCACTTCACCGTGTTGTTCTCTCTACTCTTTTGTACACTTGAAGGAAAGAAAAGGGGTGCAGGTTAGAAGAACGCCTCCTTCCAACACGACGCGCGAGATCCCGAGTCACAGGAGGGCGGTCCTCTGGGGGCTGAGGCAGATGGAGTGAGGAATGTGGATTTGGGGTCAGCAGCCCTGTTAATTCTGATGCAGACGGTTCGAGGTCATTCTGGGGACAATGGCTGAGTGAAACGGACACAGGCCTGCAATTCTGGCTTGAAGGCCAGCTCTATGACTCTTGGACAAGTTACTTATCAACTTTTGTGCCCGCTGGGAATAACAGTAATAATAATATTAAGAAGAAGAATAACCATATTCTGAGGTCCTTACAAGGAGTGAGATTATATGATCTGAACCATAAAACAACATCCACATCGCAACTGATGATCAGTAAATGTGAAAAAATGGAATTTAACATTATCATTTTCTCAAGCATAGTGTAGGACAGTATTTGCTTTTCAAAACTATAGGCCAAAAAAGAAAAAGGAAAAAAGTTAATTATCAATATCCACAAAAAAAGGCTGTGGTTGAGGAAGATGCTTCAAATTGAGAAATGAAGTCAATTCTTACCAGTTCAGCAGGATAAAGAAGACAAAAACAGTTTTGAAACAAGTCTTCACTGACAGGCAGGAATCATTCTGCTAAACACCTGGCCCTTCTGCGGGAGGGTGGGGCTGTGCCGAGGAGCCCATCGGCAGGACCGTGGAATTCGCCTGCACCTGTCTCCACTGATGCCTGGGAACACTGAGCCAGGAAGCCTGTGGGCCTAAAGCCAGGAACCGTGGGCTCTGGGATCCTGCTGTAACTCCCAGAAGTCAGAGCTCGCTAAGCCTCAGGTCCCTTGTGTGTGAATTGGCGATGAAATACGGTTTCCCCCCAGAGCTGGAGCAGCCGGTCGGTTAATTCCAGTGAGGCAGCCCATGGTCCACTTCTGCACTAGCGGAGGACACTCACGGGGCCCCACCCGGTGAGGCATCCCTGTCCCCAGGGGACAAGGCATCCAGGCCCAGGGCAGGCCGCCCAGACAGGGTTGGGCAGAACCTGCCCACCTCTCGTTTATCTCTGCCATGTGGGCTGGGAGAAGGTTTAAAAGAACCTTGCTGACTAATACTCCCAACCACGCCAGATGCCCGGAGACACAAGGCTGGGACTTCCCTCCCCCTGCGTTCTACCCTACTGTTTGCCTTTTACTCCTCCCCTTCGGGAAGGCTCCCGATGATCACTTCAGTGAGTGTCCCTGTCGTGACATACGTGTATTGGGAGCCCGGAGCCCTGAGCAACTGGCCGTGACGCCGTGGTGCTCTTACAACAGCACCGCGCCTCAGCCGGGGGACGGAGTGAGGGTAGCACAGAGCTGCTCGTGGCCGAATGCTGAGGACATTCCCAGATGGACTTCAATGCTGCACGCACCTGTTGACAACAGGCTTGTCTTGGCCAAATGTCTCCTCTCCCTACCATCCAGCTTCCTCGTGCTGAAGTACAGACAACGCGTTGCTGCAGGCCAGGCCACGTTGTCACCGTCACTAGGACGGCTAAGGGCAACCCTGAAGCACCCCCTGGCTGCGCCTGTTCGCAGGACTTTGCGCAGTTCTCCGCGAGTAAGGAGGCGCACATCGCCGCCGGTTCCAGGAGCTCTCGGGTGTGAGCTTCCCGTTCCCTCCCGCAGACGGTGGGAAAGCCAGGCAGGAGGGTGTGGGCATCTCTCCAAGTCCTGGTGGTCAGAGTCACACCTGACCCACTCACACGCACTCCTACGCACGCACTCTCACCACGTGTGCACACACTCTCATTCATGCACACTCACACGCACTCTCACGCACACGTGCACCACCTCCCGTGCTGAGTCGGAGCAGCAGAGCAGGCTGCTCTGTCCTGGCTGGAAGAGGAGGCCTCAGGTCCCCCAGGCCTCGGCCCCCCAGGTCTCCCCTGTAGCCTGGCCCTGACCCCCCCTCCCCCCAGAGAACCTCCCCCAGCTTCTCACCCACTCGCTGGCCCGCCTGGGGATCTTAAAGGGAATTTTAAGAACAGGAAATGATCATGCATCCGGTTGAACTCGCCTGCTGTCCTTGCTGGCTGCTCCTAATCCTACCTTCCGGTGTAAGACTGTGCCTCCTGGGGTTTGTTTTCCTGTGCTCAGTATTTTCTGCATGGTGACCTGAATTCCATCATGCGAGGTTCAGAGGGCTCTGGCCCCATGTAGTGGGGGAGAAACAGAGCGGAAAGCACACAAGGAGCCTGGCAGGGCTGCTGAAGAGAGTCACTAAGACAATCCTCAAATCCTGAAAGACAGAATCCAGAAGGGACACAGGGAGAGAGAATAAAATAGGAGCTGCCTTGGTGGCCTTGAAATCATCCCACAGGATGGACGTGACCGTCATGCTGCAGGGGAGGGCAGCAGAGCAGCCTGGCCTGAAGGAAAACGTGGCAATATGAGAGCCGGCCCTCGGGAAATTAGGAAAGTCCACAGCTAAGGAAACGTGCCCTGTGTCTTTGCCCAAAATCTCTAGTCCTGTCCAGCTGTTGAGTCAGCCTGCCCCAAATTTCTGGGCCCAAGACAATTCGTTTTCCAACTAAGTCAACTTTACAAAGAAGGGCTTTTCTATTACTTACATAACAACACACTATAAAAGTACAGGACAATTACCTAAAAACAATTTCTTAAACACGGAAGCCCAAGGATTCCCCTGGCGTTTTGTCAACTGTATTGTGCCCCCTTACACACACACTGGCTCACTCACTGCAGGCCCCCTCAGGTGTCTACACAGGAGGAAGAACTACAAGTACAACTGGGTATCTGCTACATCTGAGACACTCAGCACACCAAGTCCACAGCCAGGTCTGTTCACACAAACGCCTTTGTCTGTGTGTATGTTCCCATACACTTCCTAAAGGCTCTTGTTTCTTGCCCACCTCTTATTTTCTAAATATGAGGCATTTTCCATTTTCAGACTTTCCTTTGCTCTTATCAAACTGGTAGATTCTCATTTGCCATACTGGGAAATGTGTTTTCTCATACCTAGCATCAGGCCTCTGTCCTTGAGAATGGTTGCAAGCGAATGGAAGACAAAATGATATATATAAATATAAAACAAAGGGAAAACATAAAGTATAATACATTTGTGCATGTTCCCCAAGTGAAACTGCTAATGAATTGCTATGCTTAAAATTTACATATGTACACACATATGTAGTGCATATGGTATGTTGTGTGTATACATGCTACATGTATGATATACACATATGGTATCTTCATAGTCTAGGTGCTCAGTACAATAGCACACAGCCACTCTTTCAAAGCCACATACAAGATACATGGCTTCACACAGCTCAGCCCTCTATCATTCCCTCTGCCCCCCCAGACCATCAGTCTTTCTGGGTTCCTCCTTAGCCCCACCAGACAGACAAGGCCTGACAGTGTGGACGGTGGCCCAGGTGACGTTCTGTCTCCCTCTTATGTCCATGGAATGGAGCAGCATCATTGGTACATCCACCCAACCAGGACTCAGTAGAAACCTGCTCTACAAACACCAGGAAAGGCCTGCAAGAAGGAGACTCTGCCCTTCTCCCAGTGAGTGGGCCTCAACTTTTCTGGTTCTTTGTGGATTCCCTGGAGTGATTTCCAAGAGGATATGCAAGGCAATGCCGGTTTTACAATACCTCTGAAAATTGCTCCTTCGTTGTTACTAATGCCTGCGGTGAGTGCCCTTATGCAAGGTACCGTTGTTTATTTATCTCTGCAGATGGCTATCTGGATTTCTTCCCAGGTTGTCATCATTGTCTCTTTGCCTTTTAGTTGTTATTAAACCAGGTCTGTTCTCTCTTCATGGGTGTGTGTACGTGTAGGTCCACGCCTTTTGTCTGCGACCACTGCTATTTCTGTATTATGAATCACTAAGCCTTGGTACCCATCCTTATGGTTTCTTTCTTTCAATTCTTTTTGTTTGTTTGATTTTACATCTTCCTTGCATGGCTAATGTCTGCAGTACAGAAATCTGGCATTAAGAAAAGCAATCTTTTCCTTAGATGTCTTAAAAATGCCCTCTTCACTGCACTCGGACTCTGATTGCCCAGCCAAGCTGCCCTGCGCATAGAGCACAGAGCAAAGCGTGCTCACAACCTGGACTCCAAGTGGGGTGATTAATGTTTTAGAGAGCAAACCTGGGACGCAGCCATATTAGACCAGGAAAAACTCATAATAATATAACATATATTAAAGAATTATTCACATGTGCTATGACTCTAATATATAAAATACAGGTATTTACTTGATATTATATATTATTTTGTATTTTTTATTTCCTTCTGTCCCATGATACAGTAGGACTTTTTATTTTTTCTCTGTCTCTGATACTCCTTCTCTGGACTGCCTTCAGTTTTAGGACATCCGTTTTTCTTGTAATAATAAAACTGAATATCTTCAAACCCAAATTCCACTTGGACTTGTAGCTCTGTTCCTATCGAGGCCAAATTGCCATGATTTCTGATCCCTGTCTTCACTGTTACAACCACGCGGTGTAACAAATAACCACAAACAGAGACCTAACGCTCACTTATCATCTCCCAGTCCTGTAGATCCGAGTCTGGCATGGCACAGTATGTTCTCTGCTCAGGGTCTCAACAGGCAAAAATCAAGGAAACAGCCAGGAATGCACCTGGCTGGGGCTCGGGGTCCTCTCCCAAGCTGGCTGCTTATTCAAAGAATTCATTTCCTTCCTGCTCCTTCCACACGGCCCCTCCAACATCAAGCCAGCTATGGGTGGTTGAATCCTTCTCCAGCGTCCAATCTCTTTGCTCTCCTTTTCTGCATCATCTCCTCTGCTTAAGGGCACATGTGAGTACAGTGGGCTCACCTGGATAACCCGGGATAACATCCTGTCTGCTGGTTAGCAATCTTAATTTCATCTGCAAAGTCCCCTTGGCCGTGTGATGGAACTGGCTTAACACCAGGAAGAGAAGATCACAGAAGGCCCAAATTCTGCCTGCTACAGTCATCCTCTGGCCCCGTGGTCCACGTTCCTCTCACACGCAAATACATCCATCCCACCCATCACAACAAAGGTGTCATCCCATACAACACCGACTCCAGGTCCAGAACCTCATCATTTCGATCCCCGCACCGTGGCGGACGGACGGGGCTCCGGCGCGATCCGTCCTGAAGCGCACGCCTCCAGCCGCGCCCGCAAAGCTAGAAAACGAGCTGTCCACGCCCCACGCTCGCTGGGGTGGGCATCGGGTGGCCCCGTGCTGGAGCCAACCAGACGTGCGTCCCGAGGCCGGGGCAAGGGCAGGCCCCCGTCCAGGCGGGTCCGGTGTCCATCCGGGAAACGCCATGGGGGTCAAGCCCTGGGAACTATCCCCACCGGTCCCGGGCTCCGCCCCCGGGTTTGGCTCTGCCAGTCAGTCTGACACTGGCGCGGCTGATTTGTGCCCGGCAAGCCCGGAGAGGCAGCGCGGCACGCCCAGGCCTCCGGCTCGGTTCCGCACGAAGCGGGCGCCCTGCACGGCTGTCCGCCTGGGCCCAGGAGACACTCCGCACTCTGACCCCCGCACTCTGACCCCCGCACTCTGACCCCCGCACTCTGCTCCCCACGCCCGCCCTCCCCGCGCGCCCGTGCTCTGTCCCCACGGCGCTCTTGGCTCCTCCCTTCCGCTCCTCCCCTCCTGGCAGACAGCCCCTCCCGGCTGACTTCCGGCCCACCGCCTCCCCAGGGATGGGGCGGAAGGAGGAAGGGCAGGACAGGGGAGGGCGCGAGGAAGAGTTGTGAGAGTGAAGCGGCTAACCACGACGGAAGCAATACCTTGTGGCAGTTACTGATGTTACCAAATGCACATGGGTGACACCCCCTGTGCCTAGGGGCTGGCACCTTGGGTCCTTCCACCCAGGTTCCGCCCCCGGACAGGCAAAAGGCCTGAGGCCACGGTGAGCGCCCTTTCAGTGAACCCCCACTGTCCCCCCGGGACATTTTCCCCTGACTCCGTGGGACTATGCGCTTCGCCGGAGTGTGCCTCGCGCTCACTTTCCTCCCCGTCCTCTCTGCTCCTGCGGCCAGGCTCACGCCTGCGCCAGCGGCTGTGTGCCTGCTCACCTGCCCGGCTTCGCAGCGCAAGGGGCGCAGGCCGCAGACTGCCCAGCGCTCTGCTTCCCACTTGCGGGGGAGAGTAGTTGAGGCAGGCCAGCGAGGAGATCAGCTGCTTCTCCCCACGGAGCCAAGTCCCTAAGATAGGGGTCGCCACAGAAGATAAGGAAATTGTAGGCAACAGAGAGAAATAAAAGAATACATAGAGATTAAGGTATAGTTTATAGTTTTATATATATATAAAGATCAGATATAACACAGCGGGAAGTTCCTAGGGGACTGGCAGAGCTCCATAACCGCCATCAATATGGTTAGATTCATGCAGGTTTTTATAATCACAGACATCAATTACCAGTTGTCAGGGTAACATATTTGCATATCAGGGAATGCAGTTGCTAGGGGATACAGGTAGCGGGTTAGGGTCAACAGTCCTCTCAAATGGCTTCTAATCTATCTAGGTGAACAAACAGGTATAAAGTCTTTTAGGCGCTAACTTATAAATTCTAAGAGGTAGTTGTCAGTTAACAAAGGTATAACAAAAGAGGTATAGTGACTCTATTTCTTTGATTAGTTATGGTGGACTTAAAGGTAGACAGACAGGAGAGAGCAGGAAACCCATCTCTAATAAACAGGTTGTTTATAACCACGGGGGCACATCTCTGGGCAAAGTGCACTGTCTCCGGCTCCCATCCTGTGGGCCATGTTTGCCTTGCCTTGTCTTTCAAGACACAGGGAAGCTCACAGATTTTGAGATACCGGGAAGCCTTCCTGGAAAACATCCCTACCGAGATCTGAGAGCTCTCCCATGATAGCAGCCTCTGAGAAGTGAACCATTGAGTTCACACATTCCTTCAGGGAAAACCCCTGAAAACTCCTGTTTCTGTCTTTAATATAATAATATAGGTTATACAATAAAATAATTGTCTTATGAGCCACATCTCATTAATTCCTCAATCATATTTTCCCAACACCCACCCGACCGTCCCTGGCTCATTTTCATCCCTTCCCTCTGGCTCATGCACTGTCCTCAGGCCTCCTTGGGTTTTATAGCCATAAGCTGATAGCCATCAATAGTTACAGCCTTTTAAAATATGAAGACTCCCTTGTCAAGAATGCACATCAAGCAAGAAGCTTCTGTTGCAATAAATTTGGTGCCACGGTTTTACTCCTTAGTTCTCCTGAGATTGAAGTTAAACAAATACACAGTTTGGCCGAAGACCTGCTGAGTCATTTTTCCCACCCATACATACTAAAGGCCTAGCTGTAAGTTATGGATTCTCTTTTTTAAGTGAGAAAAAAAAATACTATTTTAGGAAGAAAATTTTCATAAAGGGTCATATTTATTTCTGCTTTCTGTGGGCATCTTTGTCTATGCATAGACTAGAGAATTGGGGTAATTGCCTTGACCACTGAGGCACAAAAGAAAGGAGCTTCCTTTCCATGGAGAGGGCAAGGTGGAGGAATCCGAATAACTGGAGAAAGTGTTGCCAGTTGCATGTGGTTCCTTCTGTGAGCAGCGTGGCTCTCCAACACCTCCTTCTTGACTCCCTTGGGGCACAGTCAAAACTCCAGCACTGGGGACTCAAGCTGACTCCCTGGAGCCATCATATGCCTTTGGCACATTGCAGTTGAAGAAGGCAAAGAGCCAATTATTAAATAGTTCAATCTCCCAAGAGACCCTACAGCCACAAGGGTCCTTGAATTAAATCAAGACCTGTTTGTCAACTGATTGCATGCCACTACAACAACCAACAATTAATTATGTGCATGTCTACATATAATCCCTCAAACTGTTTGGAAATAAATAAATATGGCAGGATTGATATTTCAATATCACAATTTCATTTGAGCCCTGGCCAAACTCACAATTTACTCAATTTCCTATCTATAAAATGTTATTTAGCAATATTAAGATGGGATTTGATTTTCTGTGCAGAAATGATTTTATCATAAACTCAACAGATATAATTTTCATGAAGCCAATCATTTCTACCTCATGGTAACAAAACTACTTACAAAATCTTTCACTGAGCTCACAAAACAAATTTTTTTATTTTTATGGAGATTGATAACCTTTACCTCCGAAGTGCTTTTGAAAGCAATGATGTCCATTTGATCTCTGTTGATAATCTGTAACCAACTTGGTTAAAATCACCAGAGGATGCCACTTTCTGTTCTCAGTGGTTTACCCTGAAGCAATCTTCCAGATTTGGATTTCATGTCAGCAAAAGCGATTGGGTGCCTACTATGCACAGACATTGGGCCAGGAGGCAGGCTGCAAAGGCATGTGACTGTGAGGGTGTCCTGAAAACAAATAATTCTCACACTGTGTATTCAGTCCTCTGGAGACCTGCATAAGGGAGTAGTTAACCCTACCTGAAGAGGAGGTTAGAGAAAGTGCCACAGAAAGGTCATGTGTAGAATCGAGGCAGTGGGTGATGAGAAAATCTGCCAATTGTCATCATGATAAGTGAAATTAAAAATAACATATTTTACTTTTATAATGTAAAGAACCGAGGACAGAAGGGGAAATCATGGTACTGTGACTGGAGATGTGAATCATGGCTCTCTTTAGACATCCATCACTATGTTTATAAACGAAATTCACTCATTAGTGCAAAATTTGGTAAACTGAAAGCCTGCTTCCTTAACTTACGTGGAAAACCCTACACTCAGCATCTGAGATCTCTTGCCCCAGAAAACCACCATTAAATGGGTAATTTTATTTTTAGGAGATTCTTAATGACCATGTCAATTATTCCAGTGGTTATAGGACTATTCAGATTATCTACATCATCTCAATTAAGTTTTATAATTTTGAAGAATAGATTTCTTTCCCTTAAGTTACCAAATTTATAAGCATAAAGTTGTTCATAGTATTACTTTATTATCTTTTTAATGACTTGAGGATCTGTAGTGATATTCCTGATATTGATAATTTGTGTCTTCTCTTTTTATTTCTGTTAATTCTTGCTAAAGATTTATCAATTTTATTGATTTTTCAAGGGTCCAGCTTTGTTTCATTTTCTTTATTGTTTTTCTATTTTTAATTTCAAAGTATTTAATTTCTTCTGATTGTTTTGAGTTTGTTTTCCTTTTCCTTTCTTTTAGTTTTTTGAGGCAGAAAGTTAGATTATTGTTTTGAGAACTTTCCTCATTTCTAATATACATTTGTTGCTATAAATTTTCCTCTCAGTACTTTATTAACTATATTCTACAAATTCTCATATGTTGTGTTTTCATTATTATTTATCATTTAGGTCTATTTTCTTTAAATTTCCTCTGAGACTTATTCTTTGGCCCATAGATGATTTAGAAGTATGTTATTTCATTTGCAAATACTTAGAGATTTCCATGTTGTCTGTCATTGATATCTGATTTCATTGTGGTTAGAGAACATGTTGTGTATTATTTCAGTTTTTTAAAAATTGTTGACTATTTTTTATGATTCAGGATACAGAAAGCCTTGGTAAATGTTTCATGGGTGTGTGTAGTGTTTTATATACACCTATTAGATCCTGTTGGTAGATTGTGATGATTAGATCTCCTATATCCTTGCTAATTTTCTCTCTAACAGTTCTATTAATTGCTGACAGGGAGGAGTTGAAATCCCCATCCATAATTGTAGATGTGTCTATTTCTCCTTTGGGCTCTATCATTTTTCTCTTAGGTATTTTAAGGTCTTTTGTTTTTTGTGTACACATTTAGGTTTGTTATACTTTCTGATGAATAAATCCTTTTCATCTTTACGTAATGTCCCTTTGTCTTTAGTCATGTTCTTTGCTCTGAATTTTACATTACTGAATATTAATGTAGTAACTCCTGCTTTTTAAAATCAATGTTTAGGTGGAATCTCTTTTTCAATCCATTTACTTTCAACCTATTAATGCCCTTGAATTTGAAGTGAGTTTCTTGTAAACAGGATATAGTTGGCTTGTATATGTATCTGTGTATGTGTGTGTATGTGTGTATCTACTCTACTAATCTCTACTTTGTAATTGGTGCATTTAGAACATTTATATTTAAGGTAATCATTGATATATTAGGGGTTCCATCTACCATTCTATTGTTTGTTTCATGATAGACAACAATCTGAGACATAAGACACACTTTGCCAATTTAAAAAATTAAAAATCATACAAAGTATGTGCTCAAACCACAGTAAAATTAAACTAGAAATCACCAACAAAAAGACAGCAGGAAAATTCCAACACTTGAAAATTAAACAACATACTTCTAAATAACACATAAGTCAAAGAAGTCTCAAAAGAAATTTTAAAATATTTTGAATTAAAGGCAAATGGAAACAGAATATATCTGTTTAGAAGCAGTGTTTAGAAGAGCTTTTATACCATTAAATGTGTATATCAGAAAAGGGGGAAAAATCTGAAATTAATAACCTAAGCTTTCACCTTAGGAAACTAAAGGAAGAAGAATAATTAAAATCTAAAGGAAAAGGAAAAGGTATAATATAATTAGGGCATAAATCAAGGAAATTAAACACACAGAAATACAGAAAAATCAGTCAAATCAAAAGCCAGTTCTTGGCTCCCTGGTGGTCTTGTGGCTAGGCTCAAAAGCCAGTTAATTAATTAATCTTTTAAAAGATTAATGAAATTGATAGACCTCTATTCAAGCTAACCACGGGAAAAAGAGAGAAGACACAAACTACAAATATCAGAACTGAAGGAGAGATCATCATTACTGAGCCCATGTACATTAAAAAAACCATAAAAGAACACTATGATGAACAACTCTGTGTCTACAAATTTGATAACTTTGATGAAATGGACCAATTTCTTAAAGACGAAAACTGCCAAAAACTCATACAAGGAGAAATAGAGAATCTGAATAGGCCTATATCTATTAAAGAAAATGAATCAATAATCAATAACTTTTCATAAAAAGAAAGCCTGAATAGATTTGCTGGTGAATCCTATCAAAGATTTAAAGAAAAATGACAATTTTTTTTACAATCTCTTCGAGAAAATAGAAGCAGAAAGAATATTTCCTCATTCATTATATTTGGCAAGCATTACTCTAATACCAAAATCAGACAGACATTACAATAAAGAAAAATTACAGGGAAATGTGTCTCATGAAAATAGATAAAAAGTTGACAAAATATTAGCAAATCAAATTCAACAATGTATAGAAAGAAGTTTACACCATCACCAACCAGGATTTGTATATGCCCAGTTTAATATTGGGGGTGAGGGAGGCAAAATCAATGTAATCCACAACATCAAAAGGCTAAAGAATAAAAATCTCAAATTAATTGATGCAGAAACAATTTTAGTAAAATCCAATACCTGTTTTTAAAAAAAAAAAAAAAAAACTCAGCAAATTAAGAATAGAATGGAACTTCCTTAATTTGGTAAAGAACATCTATAAAAATCCTAAAGCTAACTTCATATTTAATGGTAAGAAACTGGACCTTTTCCACCCTAATACTGGGAACAAGTTAAGGATATCTTCTCTAGACTCCTATTCAACAAAAGACCAAACAAAAAAGGGACATAAAAGATATACAGATAGGTAAGGAAGAAATAAAACTTCCTTTTCTTGCAGATATCATGATTTTCTATGTAGATAATCCCAAAGAATCGACAAAAATATTCCTGAAACTATTATAATAAGCAAGTATAACAAATTACAGGATATAAGGCCAATATACAAAAATCAACTTATTTCCTATATACCAGTAATGAACAATTGGAATTTGAAATTTTATAAAAACATTTATATCATCAAAAATGAAACAGTTAAATATAAATATAAAAAATATGTATATGATCTATATGCCTTAAAATACAATATTCTAATGAAAGATATAAAGAGCAGATCTACATAAATGGAGAGATAGTCCATATTCAAGGATTAGAAAATTCAGTATTGTTAAAATGTCAATCCCAATCAAAATCTCGGAAAACTATAATTTGGATATCCGCAAAATAATTATAAAGTTTATAGAGAAGACAAAAGACCTAGAATAGCCCACACAATACTAAAGGAGAACAAAATTGAAGGGTTCACATTATTCGATTTCATGACTTACTATAAAACCGTAACAATCAAGACGGTGTTGTATTGGTGAAAGAACAGACACACAGATAAATCGAATGGAAAGAAAACTCACTCTTGCTCGCCGAGCTCCAGCCGAAGGAGAAGGGGGGTAAGTAAGGAGGTCTTTATATACCATGGCTCGTACAAAGCAGACTGCCGGCAAACCGACCGGTGGGAAAGCACCCAGGAAGCAACTGGCTACAAAAGCCGCTCGTAAGAGTGCGCCCTCTACTGGAGGGGTGAAGAAACCTCATCGCTACAGGCCTGGTACAGTGGCACTCCGTGAAATTAGACGTTATCAGAAGTCCACTGAACTTCTGATTCGCAAACTTCCTTTCCAGCGTCTGGTGCGAGAAATTGCTCAGGACTTCAAAACAGATCTGCGCTTCCAGAGCGCAGCTATTGGTGCTTTGCAGGAGGCAAGTGAGGCCTATCTGGTTGGCCTTTTTGAAGACACCAATCTGTGTGCTATCCATGCCAAACGTGTAACAATTATGCCAAAAGACATCCAGCTAGCACGCCGCATACGTGGAGAACGTGCTCGGGCGTAAGAACCACTAAATGGGAAAACATTTCATCTCTCAAAAAAAAGATTCTCTTCTTCTGTTATTGTAGTTTCTGAAACGTTAGATTTTTTTTTTCCCCATGGGTCAAAGGTACCTAAGTATATGGATTTCAAGTGAAAATAGGGGACAGAAACAGGTATGGGCAGTTTTTTCCATTTTCATTTGTGTAGTGACTTTTTAATATAAATGCCAGGATGTGAAGCATTAATGCAAGTCAAATGTTTCAGTGAACAGATGTCAGCAGTTCAACTTATAACAATTATAAATAAACCTGTTAAATTTTTCGGACAATGCCAGCATTTGGAATTTTTAAAACAGTAATTTCTTATTGACAGCAAAAAAAAAAAAAAAGAAAACTCAGAAATAGGCCCACACTGATCTTGACAAGAAGCAAAGACAATTCAATGAGAAAGACGTTTCAAAAAATGGTGCTTAGCATCATATGTTAAACAATGAACCTAACAGACTTGCCATCTTTCACAAAAATTAGCTGAAAATAGATATGAGAGAATATAAAACACAAAACTATGAAACTTGTAGAAGAAAACAAAGAGAGAAAAATATAGATGTAACCTAGGTTTGGTGATACATTTTAAGATGTAACAAAATCACAATTCAATAAGATAAAAAATATGATTGAATTTTTAAAATTAAAATCTTCCTTTCTATGAAAAGTACTACTAAGAACTAAAAATACAAGTCCCAAATTAGGAGATACATACAAAAACTATCTGATACCAGGCCTTGTATCTAAATGTAAAAGAATTTTAACCCAACATAAGTAAACAAACAACCCAATTAAAAATGCCAAAAGACTTGAACAGCTACATCGCCAAAGAAATATACAGATGGCAAAATAGCATGGAAAGACACTCAGCATTGCTTGGCAGCTAGGAAATGCACATTGAAACAAACTCTGACCTATTTAAACAGCTAAAATTTTAAATCTGACAGTACCAAATAGCATTGACAGACCCGAGCAATAGAAATCTCATTCATTGCTAAGGGGAATGCAAATGGCACAGCCACTGGGAAGGCATTGACATTTTTTTTATAAAATGAACATAGTTTTATAATACAATCCAGTAATCATGTACTAGGGATTTACCTAGCCAATTTAAAAATTAGGTGATGACATGAAACCTGCATGTGGTGTCTTTGTTCATAATCACCAAAAGACAACCAAGATGACCTTGTGATAAGTGAATGGATAACAAATTGTGGCACACCCATAAAGACTGATTATTACTTAGTGATAAAATAAATGAGCCATTAAGTCACAAAAAGATAGTGATGAATCTTAGAACCTGTATTGCCAAATGAAAGGAGCCAGTCTGAAAAAGCTACTGCTACATGATTCCAATCATATGACATTCAGGAAAAGGCGAGACTCAGAAAGATGCTACAAAGATTACAGTGCTTGACAAGAGTTTAAGGCGAGAAAGTTGGATAGTGTGAGTACAGAGGACTTTTTTAGTGGTGAAATCATTCTGTAGGATTGTATGATGATGAATACATGACATTGTGCATTTGCCAACCCATGAGACTTTATAGCACAAAGTTCTTAATGTATGCAAATTTCTAAGGAAATTGCATTATAAAAAGGTTGGGAGGAATGACGCAGCCTGGGAGTGGCAGAGATATGGAGTACGAGAAATCTTACAAGCTGTATGTGGAATGAGGACAGATATGTGAGTGAGAGTCAGTTGATCAATATATGAGACAACTCGATTGAAGGAGATGAGGAATAATGACAGGAAAAAAGTTCTGGTTTATACAGCTCTTCATGTTGATAAAGTTTCTTCA